GTCTCTCCGTCTCTCACACACTCATATGCACAAGGGCAAAGGGAGGTGATGAGTCCCACCAGGTCCAAAAGGTACTTCACACTCTGGCTGCATAATGACACAGCCCGGGCTCTCTCCCCCAACAGCGAGCCGTTTAAAATGGATCTGGGTCACAGTGGGATCCCTATCGTCCGTCCATCCGCCCACTGGAACCCGAAGCATTCCATTCATTTGTGACAGAGATGCCCGAGTCACTGCAGCCAATCCATGTGACACGCTTCACTGTCAGTGAGAGCTGCTGCATTATGTATTAACACTTAGCAGGTGCGTTCTCCTCTGTGTGCTGCACACAGTGCTGTGCTCCATGTCAGATGGATGTCAGCACCTCAGTGTGTGAGTGACAATAGTGATATATAGAAACAGGAAGAAATCCTCAGCAATCGCTCCACTTCTTCGGTCAGTTCTGCAGAAGTTAAACATTCGGCATTAGTCGATTCAACGAAAATCAGCAACCTTAGCTCGTGATGTGTTTGTAACCACTCTGCAGTCATAAATCATGGAAGTCCTAAATGGCAAGTGAGACAAAAAAAATTAATTTGATTATTCACTTTCTAAGATCGATTAAAATGTATTTGGTCAGTTATGGCTGTCAGTGTTAACGCATGAATCGTGACGCGATTCAAGTCCAAAATTAAAGCATTCCTTGTTTTAAATGACATTTATCACATGTTTTTTTTTTTTTTCACTTTGACGCACCGTAGGCGAGCCGCCACAGCGTGCAGTCACAGTAATACCACTGCTCCTTTGAAGGAAGCCTGCTGCTGTCTTTCACATAAATGTGGAAAATGTCCAAGAAATGGTTTTACCACTGCAGTGTGAAAGAGCACCGAGGCCTGACCTTAACCCATCCAACACCTCTGAGATGAACTGGAACACTGACATCCACCCAGACATTTCAACCAGTTCAGCTCACTGGGCGAGTGCTGGCATGTTTGCTGCATGGAGCGGAAACATTAGATCACTAAAGAGGCAGTTTTTTCTTACCCACCTGCTCAGCTTCCACTTGATCTTAATGCGATATTTCCCTAATTTTAACCATTTAGTATTGACAATGCCTTGATGCAGAGGCGCTGATCGTCAATAGGCGAGGCAGGCGACTGCTTGGGGTCCTAGACCAGTACCCTGAGGGCTCCCAAACTTAAACCAAAGCAGTTGACCAAAAAGTGAATTTTTTGCAACAACAGTAGGAAATCTCCCTAAGGGGGCACCATCTGACAGCACTCATTCTCTTCCCCCTAATAGTCAGGATACTAGCAGGCATGACGGTGATGAACGCTGGTTGGAGGGCCCCCCAATTGATTTTTGCCCAAGGCCCCAACAGACTCTAGAATCGCCACTGCCAAGATGCTGGTAGAAGCATTTCTCCATATGAGAGTGAATGTGAGCAAAAACAAGAAAAGAGTTTCCTGTTACATCAGCAGAACAATGCCAACGGTTTTAAAAACGACTTACTCAACAATCCCATCTGGCTGCGATGTTGTCAACAAACTAACATACAACATGCATTATAGTTTCTAAGTGTTTACCTTGTCGAGGCTGTGTTCATGCACACGCTGTTTAAAGTTGTTCAAGAAGGAGGTGTAGGAGGTGCAGATGGAGAGTGACAATCAACAGAAGAAGAATCCATCCGTTCACAGCTGTGCAACAGACTGCAGCAGCTGTGTGATCGATTTCATTGGCGCACAGTGACAGGTTTACAGAAACAACGAGATGCAGGTGTGAACATGTGAGGAAAACCAATTAACCGTAATCCATTTTCAATATCTGACCTCACTTGTTCACTGCCCTGTGTAAGTGTCTTAAAGGGGACATACTATGAAAAATCCATATATTATATTTGGGTAACCTGAGCGACCCACAAAATGTGAAATAAATCCATCCAGTCCTTTGTTTGTGGTCTGCATAAGTCTTACAACACAGAGAAAAATGCTCCGTTTCAAATTTCATGTCTTGTGATGTCACAGTGGGATTCAGGTTAAAAAAAAAACCTCCCCTCCCCTGGTATCTCCACCTATGGACTCCACCCACAGCCTAGAGCAAAACTTTTAAGCAGGTCCGCCATTTTCATTATCTCTACAGAGGAGTGATGTCTACGGGGAAAACTCAGGGGGGGGGGGGTGCTCATTGCATTTAAAGAGACACACACCAAAACAGAGCGTTCTGAGAGAGCTGGTTTATACAGGGTCACAAACTTCCTCTGGTGATTGATTCATGTTATATTTTGACCAAGCACAGAACAGATGTTTCATTTAGACCACAGGGGGACTGTTTGAAAAGGTGGAAAAGGGGGGATAAAATGTTCTCTTTAATACAGGTGAAAGGTTGTGGTTTTGGTTCTTTTTTTTCATTTGAGAATTTAGATTTAAGGACCTTTGTCTTTGTGTTTGATGATGTAATACTTATTTCAGTATTCACTCCTCACATTTTTAGGCTTCTGGCTGCCGTTTGTTGGTTCCACTCGAGCTCAGGTGACATTGCTCTCCAGCAGCAAACACTTCAGCCGGAGAAATAACTGTATTTGTTGTGAATGTGTTCCCTCTGCAGCTATGTGCTGCCTGATTGCTCACCTTCCCCCTGGCTGATTCATGCCCGGCTACATCGTCAGAACTTTTCTGTCAAATTCACCTTAACTTGTTTTTTTTGTTTTTTTTTACGATGAATGCACAGTTTAGAGACGGAGTTGCTGCACATTTTCTGAGTAAAGGGGATAAAATGGATTACACAAACGTAAGGCCTGAACTTCCAGTTACCTCAAAGAAAAGCCATCCTCTCAGGGTGATCAACTTTTGAACCCCAGTTGAACACTCATGGTACATTTTGATGTGTGAAAATTGTTGGGCTGCTGTGTTTTCTGCTGTAAAGAGAAAAACAAATGAAATTACACAGATACTAAAAGGTTATTTGATTTCTGGATCATGGCTGAGCATTGTGTCGCTGTTATAATGAGTCCCTTGATAAAAACCTGTATGTGTCTGAAGCAGAGCGAGGCTTGTTTTCTTATTATTTACACAGCTTCTTCAGTTAAAGCATTTAGCTGCGGCCTTTGCATTTCCTGAACTGAATATCAATTTAACATGAGATTACCAAGAAACAACATAAGATTAATCTGTAAGCTGGCTCAGAACTCATCAGAAGTCAAATAACATTTGTCAGAAATGTCACATCCACCCGCTGGGAGAGCATCATCATTAACATACAGACGCTGATCTTTAACAAAAGCAGAAGGCAAGCCCCCTGCCGTCAGTTCAAAGAGCTCATATGGGTAGTTTCAAGCTATCAGAGCTGCTTTTTCGTTGACTTTAGCGCTCTGCGAGGATGATAGATGAACATATTTAAATGCAAATAAGGTACAACTATCACAGATCGGTGTTTTGTGTGCTCTGGCGTTCAGAAACACCCGGCCTAATTGAATAAAGGCAATATTTTCACTCTGAAAATTATTTGAAGTCCCATCGCCGCTCAGTGATGGAGGTCTTGGATGACACCGCTTTGTTCTTTAACCACTCAAACAACACATAACGATATTAGTGCAACGCGGAATGACTCACTTACGGAGAAGATGGATCGCTGCGAGCTGCAGCTGCTTCCTCGTCCCCGTATCAAGACGCTGTAATCAATCATTCCGTGCAGAGCGGCGGCTTCTCTTCTGGATTGTGTCAAATGAAAGAAACACTCACAGGTCTGTAACTGAGCTGTGACAGTTTACTGCTCACTTGAGACACTCTGAACAAATCAAAGCTCTCATATCTGGGGATGCAGAAAACACACTGAGTGCGCCGGTTGAAAGCAGACTGAGCCTGTGAGTGCTGCTTGTTGTGCTCAACTCACAAAGGGACTCTTTCTAGGGAAAGGTCAGTCTACTTAATCCCAAAACACATTTTTTTACCAACTATGACAGTGTCATGACAGTCCATAAAGTGTAGGGATTATCTTCAGAAGATTTGTTGAACTAAATATCTCTTTACAGCATCTTCAAGAGATGAATTTCAAAGTATTTGCTTGATGTATAAAACAAATATACTTGTTAGCAAGTTGGGAACATTTCAAAGGAGGCCTCGACTGCAGACCAAGAGGATTAAATGTAGATGCAGGTGGATACAATGGAGCCTTTGAAGCAGTTTTGTTGAAACCGTCTTTTCACAGCTATAAATTATTGTCAGTCCATTGTCCGGAAGCAATGTACACCTTGCAGCCAATCGAAAATTGAGTTTTTGGTCCCGATTGTGGTTTAAGCAAAGACTGTATAAAACATGGACGTAGTCTCAGTGACCTCACCCATTGGTTTTTAAAGCAGAGTTTTGAAGCAGAATGATGGCGGACGCCATATTGGAAATTCTGTCTCAAACTAACTTCAGTCAAAGAAGTGGAGCGGAGGCGGGGCCTTGAGCCTCCTGGCAAACATCTACAGTCAGATCGACCACGCCCCTAATAATGCACATTTCTTAAACCTTAGTACAATCAAAACGAATGAGTCATACAAATAAAAATAATGCCAATAAAGAGGTATTCAGACCAAAACTGGCTTTTGAACCAGGCTGTATACATGTTTATTTCCACGAGTGTTAATGGGACTACTGGGGCTTCAAGTGGACACTCAAGGAACTGCAGTGTTTTGCACTTGCGACTTGGCTTTGTTTTAAACGCTGGAGGCAAAAGCTCAGGCATTGTTGGCTTTGGTGTTTTGCGTCTATAATATGAAACAAATAGAAATTTTGCAGCTGTCTTGACTTCCCTGTTTGTTCTTATGCACTGACTGGCTTAGGTCAACCAGTAAGAGTTTACTGAAGGACCCCGCCTCTGATATAGCATGCTTAATCTGCCAAAAGATAGAGATGGACAGGGATGCTAACCATTATTCAGATGCTGGTGGATGGCAGATTGATCGCCTGGTGTGTTAGGTCCTTTAAGACTAAATGCAGACTGACAACCCACCATGTTGAAACTGATTCTTTGTTCTTCTCACAACAGGAAACCATCACCATGACTACCAGCACAGCCACCTGGATCTGACTGCGCTCACACCTAAACTGGGTAAGAAAACATAATCATGTAGGACTGTATGGATGTGATATGCAATTCTTAAACTTAATTTGGAAACAATGGCAGAAAAGTAACCAACCAAATCTTGCCGTCTCCTTTCAGCACAATAACAAAGTTTTATAGACGTAACTTCGACTTCAGAAGAGATGATTGTCCTGACTGAACCAAAACTGAAACGTGTTATTAACTGTCTGTCTCTAAATGAAAATAAGCAAAACAAATCTTGCAATAGACTATTTCCAATCCCAAGGCCTGAAGTATATCTTTCACCGGGAAATTAAAATCAGAGACTCTGATAAAGGAGTTCTCTAAGAAAATGAAAAAAGAAGTGTTGGATAATCGAAGCATCATCTGTGCAGTTTGCTCAAGTTATTGAAAGCCCAATTACTGTTACAGCATCCCATCTTTTCTCCTTGATGTGATTTTCTGTAAAAGGAGAGCAGCTTTATGTGTGGAATTATTAAACACTCCTGCATCCAAGCAGGCAATGAAATGAAACACCGTGTAATTAAAAAAGGGAACGTATCAAAAATCCCCTCTATGATATTCTCAAATCCCCAGAGGCTGATGTTTTGTTTCAGTGTTTTCAGGTTAAAGCTGAAAGATTGTCATTGAGTTATTATGAAAACTCTTTTTTATCATTAATGGAGCGCTGCAATTCACATCGCGCCCGGGCTCGTCTGCCTCTTAAACAGGAAACGGCCTTTTTAGGAGGAAAATGGGTTTCAAAAGTACTTCAGCTCCAAATAAAACCCTTCAAACAGCACTTTTGAAGTCTATTTAGCTTCTGATGAGGATCATAACTGTTCTGCATAATTCCTGGTTTGGACTTTGTCCTCAAAAGTGGCAACATTTTTTGCAATATTGCCTCAGCAAGAGCATACTCTGTTATGGAAGATGTGGCTGAATACCAACGTTCAGCACCTTATTCAGTGCTTTGTATTATATAATGTGAAAAGTTTTGCACATTTTTGTCACATTTAGCTGAAGTGTTTTCATACAGACCAAATGTGGTAGCATCTGTACGAGGCACCTTTCAGCATCTGTTTTGAATTGTACATTTTTCAGACTATTGATGGAAATGAGTCTTTCTAGAAATCAAAAACTGGAGGAATGGATTCACTGTATCCCGGAAACCATCAGCTATCACTTGCCAATTAATTTAGGACTTCATAACCAGACATTTGCGTTTTAAGTGGAAATATAAATTATGTTGTAGATTTTTTCTCGCCACTACTACTCTATTCCTGTGTCCTAAGTTGCAGGTCATTCTGCAAACAATGACCATTGAACAGAAAAGGAAGTCCTAGCCCTGAAATAACCTCTGGCTACAACTGGAGCAATTCTGATGGCGACAGGGGGCAAACTCTGAGAGATGATGGGGAAATGATGGATTTCCTTTTTTGTTTTGATTATAAAAACGACTTGGATAAGTTTGAAAAAGCCATCACGGTATGGCTTCAAATCAAAGACTGAATAACAAAAGTAAATATAGACTTTGTAATGTAGTTCATTGGTTTATGGAAGCTGAATTCAGCATTTTGGTTCATCTGCAATTTTTTTTTCCCATTTGAAGCCAAAGGTGATCCAATTAGAAAATTGGCTGTTGGAAAAAGTGAAATTTGTTTTCAGGCTTCATTTTACCAAAGAAAGAATTTTTAAAAAGAGTTGCAACTGTTGTGAGTGTTCTAAGTAGCCTAACCAAAAGAAATATGTTGGATCCCAACAATTACAAACCTTGACAGTCATATTTTATTGGTAAACGTGAGCTTTTTTTACGCCCAAGTCTTCGTCTCTCAACCGATTGTGAAGAAGTGAGTCTTGTCATGTGATGTGCATGACGACGTTGGGGGCAGGTGGGCGATAAGGTGATTGGGAAATTTGTCGAAATGTTTCATAAATTGGCCAAAATCCCAAGAATGGGCAGAATTCACTGGGATTGGTTCCATTGGCTTTAATTGTTGGGAACGTGACAATCCCAACTTTCCTGTTGGGACTGATTGCTACAACTGTACCCTGGTTGACAGACAGCTGTCAGAGGTAGCCTCGCCTAATGCATAACCTACTTTTGGGAACATGTTTGACAAAGGCAGAATAATTGTACAGCTTTTTACTGCCTCTCACATGATGGAAGGTCAGAGACGTTTCTCAGAGCATCTTTTAAAGTTATGAAAGGGTAAAAATTCTCTCAATAAAACGTGTTTTCTGTGAATTACAGTGCATTATTTTTCATATGTTGACATACAAACAAGTGGGTGAGAACAGCCTGGGTTGAAACAAACTGTGCACATTGACTGTCATTGATCCTTTCTTTCTCACTTGGATTTGTTAGCCCACAGACAAATGAGACACGGTAAGTAATACACATACACATGGTGTCTATGTGTATCTTTTCCTCACCTTTTCTATCACAAATATCACCTAGAGATAAACAAGTTCAACCTGCACACTGGGAGTCATTTTTTTTGGTTTCTTTTTCAAGCACTTGTGTATTTTTTTTTTACCGTTACAAAACTTCCCACCACCACATCACAAACCATGACCTCCCGTCTGACCTCCAAATCCTTCCTTCATACTTTATTTTATCCTTTTTTATTCCACCTAACCGGCTCAATTTTCCCCACACGTAGCGAAACACTCCTTTCTCCAACTCGGCAACTGTGTCCCCTCTACACCATATGTTCCTCGGTGTTGTGTGTCCCTGTCCTCCTTGCTGCAGTAGTCGCCCCCGTCCTATTTTTAAAAATCCAGCACCAGAGTCCCTGACCCTATTCCAGCCTTCCCCACCCGCTGCGCCTCCTGACCCATGACTGGGCGTCCCAAATACTGAAGCCACAGGAGCTCCGTGCAGTGCGGGGAGCCTTAATGATGCCACGCTTATCACTGCTACCAGAAACAGTGTGAAAAGTGTTGAAGCATTTCACAGTGACACAGGTGTCCATGGAGCTGCTTACATGCAATTTACAGACGCTGGGTTACAATATGTGTGTAATGAACTCATCCGCATCAAGTAAACAACATGCGACGGAAGAAGGTCACATGAATCCCTTTAGAAATCAGAGACTTTAGTATGCTATCTTGAGGGAAAACTCAAATATGACCCTTTTGAAAATGAGACTGGTCTTTCAGTTTAAAGTTTTTGTGCCTGTCGTATTTTCTTTTGTATTTATCTGAATTTCCTTGAATCCTTAAATGCTGTTGTTGCTGGTGTAGACAACTACTGCCTCTTAAAACAGGTTAAAACAGGATACAAATGTTCTTCTATGAATCCTGCACACTAGAGATCACTGCGAACTGTTGTAACGCAGAGGCCAATGTCGATTTGAAGCAACATATTGGAACAGGACATGGTTGTAGCAGAAATGTGTACAACTTTCATCAAAAAACGCTTTAAGAACATGTCAAACTTGAATCAAAGTCGGACACAATAGAGAGCCAACACATGAGGTGTGCTGTAGTTCAAGCAAATTTAGACCAGCTTGGTAGACTTTTTGAAACCATTGTAAACGTTGTGTGCTACTTAGAAAACTGTAAGCAAATATCTGTGTATTAACCCAGGATTGGTATGATGGGATAAAAGTTTTGCTTTTGATTTGTTTTTCAGTTTGGAGCCTGCAGTGATATTGACCAACCCTCGTTGATAGCTCTGGCTTGCTTGCAGGATAACACAGATTTCTTATTGAAAGCAATGCTAATGAAATAGCTGGCAAACATCAGATAGTTTCAGTTTTCCTGAATAAGAATGTTCTAAACTGCCCTGTATGTCAGCAAACAGGAGAAGGATTGGTCACTTGTTGTAAAGGTGTTCGACCCTCTTTTGCATAGTTTCCTGCACTTGCACGTCATTTTCAGAGGTAGAAATCACAAGTGACGCCAAAAATCAGTCTTGTAGTTCCTGGAATCCTTCACAACAGCCCATAGCTGGAGAGCCAACATTCTTTTGAAGCTTTAGTGCACTTGCTTGCTGTATAAGAGGTGTAACAGTCCATGTAGAGATCAACAGACATGGAACAGATTGAAAACTATCCTGCTGTCCTAGAGCGACTACAGATGTTTTTCAATCTCCATGAACAGATATCTGCATATGTACACTGATTAATACCCTAAATTGTTATTTAATACACTAAAGAATCCGGAGATGATCTGTTCTCCTCACCGCTCAGCCACAGGCACACCTAGTGCCGATTGGTGTATCATCAATGCTTTATACCAAACATCATGAAAAATAGTGCTATTCTTGGAATTATACTATTATACAATTTAGTATAATTGCAATTAATCATTTCATTGAAATAAATGCACACAAATCAATCGTGCAATAGCTTAATACGGCTGATTAAATGGAGACAGAATGGTAACAAATTTAGAGCCGTTTGGGATCTTAAAGAACCGGTGTTCTGTTGAGATGTGCTGTCTTGTTGAAAAATGCTACCTTAGCTCAAAACGATAGCAGAGGCTATCTATTTCCCTTTTGAAATAATGCTACCAGAACAGATAACTTTATGTTAATTCAATAGTCACTCCATACATAATTAGAGTATTGGGAACACGTTTTGATACTGTGGTATTTAATAATTCAGTGAAGGGTACCTCGATGGACAATTAATGCTCCCAGTTCAGATCACTTAAAACACCACTTAGCACTGTAAGGAAACAGGAAGCATGTTTTGAAACTCTATTGTAAAGATTTTAGAGGAAGCCATGAAAGCCCCGATCAAATAAAGCTCCCGGTACTGCACAGAGCCACAAGGTAGCATATCTCGATGGGTAGCAATGTTTGATAGAACGCCGGCTCTTATTTCTGAGCCGAGCCAAATGATCGGGATCACTAAATAGAGACAGAATTCCCGTCACTAGTGCATGGAGGACAACGTCTTTGCTCAAATAATGAGTTTTCCACACATCAGTTGGCTGGATTTGAAGACCAGAAATATTCATAGACCTACTGTACCAAGAAGCTGAATCATTGTTGACATATTTCAAACATTTACCAAGTGCTTCAACTGTTTGAAAGTGGCTCTCCCTGCCTGCAGCCATGGCTTCAATACCTCCAACTGTAATCATTCATGCTGGAGCTAATGAGTCCGACAAACTCAAAATTCAAATCGCCAAATTCTTATCGACCACGCCTTATTTTCTTGTCATTTCCCTAATTCTAAAATCTCCACCATCCCCACCGACCTAAAATGTTTCTCAGTTCACACTTCTCCCTCCATCACACCTCACTCTCTCTCTACCTGCCTCCCTCTCCCCTCCCCAGTAGACTCCCAGTGTAAAAACCCATCTTTTTGACTGACTGTGCACTGACCCCACACGCACCGCTTCCTCCCCCTGTCCCCCTCCCCTGTAGAGAGACCCCAGCGGATGAACAACATCCTGACCTCGGCCACGGAGCCCTACGACCTGTCCCTGTCCAGATCCTTCCAGAACCTCAGCCATCTGCCGCCCTCCTACGAGCTGGCCCTCAAGTCTGATTTAAGTAAATACTCGTCCTCGCTCGTCAGATTAAGTAGGTGCTCCTTCATTCGTCCTTCATCGCCTTCTTCTGCCTGATGCACGGAAAAAAAAAAAACACTCAAGGAATGACGTCACCCTCGTGCCCTGTGCATCAATGGGTCGCCACATTCTCACCCCCGAATGTCCATTACAGAGACATGCATCATGATAAGTGTCTCCAGATGTTTGGTGGCTCATCATGCAGATTCAGTCATTTCACTTTTTCACCTTTTCTGGGGGGGAAAATAAACTCCTTAAAAATGCATGACAATGCGCTCCATACTCATTCCCACCAACTCGTCTATGGGTTAATCGACTGGCAGCTAATTGGCGTGTAATTTGGCTCCATCTGCAGCCCATGTTGTGTTGCTAACCTCTCTTAATGACATATTAGATCTTTTTTTTTTTATAGCTGAATAGCTTCTATACGCCAACAAGATGGCACTTTAATAACCCAGCAATTCTGCAGCTCATTATCTCTGCTGTGACATTTTCAGCTCGATGATGACGTGGATGCTGTCTCCTCGACCTCCTGACCAAGCGCATGCTGCGTTTTACCTTTGGATTGGTCGCATGTTTTTCATTGATTAGTCTTTATATTAAACAAATCAAACAAACATGAGTAGTTAAATAACTGAAGAAGTAAGACAAGTATGAGCAGGAAGCCAATACAACTAAAATTCATCACAATGTTACCTTCCCGTTTTTCTAAAATGAATAAGATTTGGAGTTTGTTATACTCTTACTTTCATTGACCAATCAGATCGAAGCTTGAAGTTTGAGGATACATGAGGACTCCACAGGACAGAATCAGTATGCCTGATGTTCTGTTTCTATTCTGTTTGCAGTATAATGGAGTGAAAATATGTAACAAAGAGTGTGATGTTAAAACAACTCTTTAATATGAATATTGTTTTATTTATGAATAATATATGTCAAAAGCAGAATTCTCTTTGTATTGGTCATCCTCTGTTTCATACTGATGTGGAGCTCTAGAGGATTTTTTACAAACAGTGTTTAAACAGAAGCTTTTAATGTAACCGGGGTAAGAGTATTTGATCAAATCCACAGTTTTTAGTCGACGACTTCCACTTCAGATCATCCACTTGAGACCGATGCATTTTTCATGCCTCCGTTTTGAACATGAACCGCTTTGAGATGAGCTTGAAAATATGAGTTACAGACACAAGATCGTTTTGTCTCAGCGTTGAATTCCCTTTAAGTCGTCGACCAAAAATGATGGCACATTTTCCTTCTCCCAGCTTTAAGATATAGTCAAATGCACTCAAGTACACAGGCGGTGAACGTGCGCTGCTTTGTGTGCCATCATGTCAATTAAAGATAAAGGTTGTCATTTCATCCACAATAAACCATGCTGTTGCCAAGACCAAGCAACAACCTCCGGTACTGAGAACTGAAGTCAATTACAAACCACATTCAAAAAAACAGAAAGAGCTCTGAATAGCCCGTGTGTTGATCGGCACACACTTTAGGGGGTTGATTTTTTGATAACTCGTCTGTTTTGATTTAATGAAGAGTAAGAGCGATTCACAATAATTTGCCTGTTAGACATATAAAATAAAGACACATTAAATTTTCTGTAAAAACACAAAATAAAAAAAAACATGTATGGGAAAAGATCATCTTTGAGATAAATCTCTGGTTTGTCCACAGGGGTCGCCAAAATCAACAAAATCCAAAAGTTCCTCAAAGTAGCTTTAACAGTATTTTACTAACACCCACAGCCAGTACTCATTCTTTTATTTACTCGAAAGTGTTCACTGCAGAAATACATTTAATTCTCTGTAGATATTGGATGCCCTTGACTGTTTAAAGAAGTCACACACTGAGAAAGCCAGTTAAACATGGCTTGGTGGTCCTGTGCTAGAAAAACATGCATCTGTGCAATCTCCTTCCTGCGCATTCTTCTTCTTTTCTTGCCTTTTTCTTCTCCCCCTTATCGACTCTGGGCTTTGCTCTTATCAAGACTTATCGAGACTTGTTCACACACAGAAAACCACCGAGATGAATCACGCTGAACAACAAAGAGGCTTCTTCTTCTTTTTCCAATCCGAGACGGAGGGCCCTGCAGAATTTGTCGAAAACCAGCTGGCAAAAGTCGCCCCTCGAAGAAAAGACATTAAGTATATAAGTAGTTCAAGCACGAGGAAAGTGTTTGGAAACGAGCCTTAAAGTAATACAATTAGTCGCTCATTTTAATTGAACCATCTGCAGAGATGATGAGGACCAAATTAAATTAGCATGGCTTGTTTGCCAATTTAAATGGACGTCTCTTCCATCCCGTCCGACCTTCAGTGGCGTCAACGAGGCAGAGATTGAGGACACTCCTATAGCGATAGAGCGATATGATAGAGGCTGGGGGCGACTGTGGCTCAGTTGGTAGAGTCGGTCGTTTCTCACACGGAAGGTCAGAGGTTTGAGCCCCAGCTCCTGCAGCAAATGCTTCATTGGCGTCGTTTGAATGGGACTAGTTCATTCTGATGGTCACTTGTGTGTGAATGTGAATGGGTAGGTGTGACCTGCGCTGTGAAAGGCTATACAAGCTCAAGTCTATTTAACATTTACCATTTACTTTTATGGCCTTAATAACCCTCAATGTAATCTAAACATGTTCAAGAACAATCTTACCGTCTTTAATCTTCCAGAAGAGGAAGAACATCGAGCACTATTGCTGCACTTCCACCGTTAATTTCACCGCTGCTGCTGCTTCTCCAAACCGCTCCAAAGATCACTTTATAATTGATGTTCGGCCAGTTTCTCAGGTTTTAGTGCATTACATGATTACACTCTTCTGTGATCGATAGCCCGGCACATAAATATTCTGCTTATATTGAATCTAATCAAGCAGAGTGGGGCGATGGGCTTTAATTAACCGCTGTTAGCAGTTTCCTGTGTTTGTAGCTCAGCTCAACGTTTTGGGACCCCCTTTGGCCCCCCTCGCAATCATGTTAATTGTAAAGTGCTGCGTTTTATCAGCGCCACAAGAGATGGTATCAAGCAATATGCATCGCTGCCTCTTAAATTGTTTCAGTCACTTCAAGTGTAAACAGTTTTAACAAGTGTACACTCGTAAAATGCAGGTTTTAAATCAAACGGCAGTGAGGGAAGAAGAGGGAGGTGAAGCTGGAGTTGCCCGTTTTCATAAAGCAGAGGACGCTTATTGAAGAGAACATAACAGGGAATTTACTGTAGAGGAAAAATAGATGTTCAGTAATACATTTTCACTTTCCTCTACTTCACTTACCTGTTATGTGAATTGAAAGTTCACAAGTACAACATTACCAATTTGTACATTTTAAGGGCATATAAATTACTTTAAAAGCCTTCCAGAATCACAATCAACTCATTACCTAAAACCTGGAGCTGGAGGTCAGATTGCATTATAGTTGTTCAGGATTTGAAATAAATCCAAATAAAATGTATCTCTTAGGTGATGTAACTTGTACCAGTTGGTATTAATAATGGTGTCCCACAGGAGTCATACTCTGTACCTTCTGTTTTAGGTTGACCCAGCCATAACATTCGTACACCACCCATGTGGACTTTCAGATTATATTTACTACATCACCTGCCTTTCAAGAAAAACCATTTCAGACATGACATTTACTTACAAAAATAGTTACCCCATTTCCAAGTATTTTACTATTCATCATATTTTCATAACTACCCCAGGAACTACCATCTTTTATATCAGAGATAACGACACTCTAAATGTCTTAAACATCTCTTTCCTGCCTTTTATTTGAGAACTAATGGTCTTTTTCATTTGCTATCATAGCAGGACATAATAGACTCTTGCCACATTAACATTTGAGTGTATAATCACCACAGATCTCTCACAGAGAATGGACCCTCAAGTTTGACCTATGAATGGAGCTGTGGGCCATGGCTTGTCGATTGTCTGTATACTTGTAGCCTCTGGTTGAGTTCAGTTGACATTTTCTGCCATAATGTCACATCTAAACCAACCCTTGAGGGAGAGATACTGGAGCACGTCAACACAGAACAAAGTTGGGCCTCTTTCATTAAGAATGCACAGGGCGATGGACATGAAACCCCTGATGGAGGGACAAAAAGGTGACCTTCTGTATCCAGGCATGACATCTCTCCCAGAGAGCGGAGCATCCAGACAACCAATTCCCATCACCCCTCTTCTTCACAACTCACTGAAGCGTTCAGCGGTCCTAAAACGGCCATTCGACCCTTTTGTTCTGCAATAATTAACTACTGCAGAGGTAACGACCCCCGCTGCCATCAGTTAATCAGAGAGCTTTTGCCGTAGCAATCCCCCTGTGAGCCAGTGTTGCCAAAAACAGGTAGATAAAAGTCTGCTGGGAGCTGATTGCTGCCTGTGGTTAATACAGCCGTGAATGAATTTACCATTAAGAGCATGTGTGCACCCGACGGAGAGGCCGACCTGATTTCTGGCGGAGGAATTAAACGACTGGTTGTCCACTCAGGCGCAACCAGCCGATGAACTGTTTGGGGTATTGAAGCATGCTGATGAGTCCTATCCACACAGAGGGACTGTTTTTCCTGTTTGTTCATCATGAAAAAGGACAAAACAATTTGAAACGGATTGAATGGAACGCTCCAGCTACTGTGTTGGTTACTATTGTCCAAACTTTCAGGCTGCTCTCTCAACTATTGACTGTGTCCAATAGGGGACACCGTCAAGTACAATATCACATCCCGAGATTGTTCAAGAGACGTTTTCAGGAACTTCTCAAGGATATCGGAGCCCCTGGAGAAGGGGTAAAAGTACTGGATTTATTTTATCAGTCTTTAACCTGTTCTTGGAGAGGATATTGGAGAGGATAGTATCAATCCAAAACCTAGAGATTTATCACTACTTATAGACCGATTTCAAATAGTAGCACCGTCACTTTCCATAAATTCATTGTGTCCCACGGGGCTTTCGCATGCTCATGCATGGATTGCAAGAAAAGTATTTCTTTGAAAGTAAAATGTGTTAGTATGTTACTTTAGGTTCTTTGTGGTCTTGCTCTGCACTCCACAAAAAACAATAGTCCATTTCCTGTAGCTAATGTATTGAATGCACCAGTGTTGAACGTTTTCTTGAATGTTATTCAAGAAAATGTGGAAATCACTAACCAGTGTGGGATGCATAAAATGAAGGAAATTGTTGGAAATAATAGGTACAACAATTTGTTACAATGTCAATCATTTTATGAAAGAAATTGTGTTGAAATTGTTACACAGAGTGTATTGTTCAAACCAAGTCTCACACTGTTGTGTCTTTCTTACTACCTTTGTCTTCCTCCTAATCAGGTGATAAGGACGTTGATGATTACTACACGAGGAAGCATCATCATGCTGACTTTGGCGGCAGGGGACCGACCCACATGGTGAAGCTGAACACAGATCATCAACAGCACCAGCAGCGGCAGCGTCCCCGTCGAGTCCAGAGGGCCATGTCCCAGGACCACGTCTTGTCTCCCCCCAGGACACCACGCCGTGGAGACTATGGCTTATCGTCGTATGGCGTCATGGCAGCTGCAGCGTACAGCAGCAGCCGGCACCTCTCAGACGAGCAGCTCCTGTCGGCAGACCGCCTACATTCCCAGGATCCCTTGCTGTCGCCTGCGATGAGGCGTGACAAGTTCCGGGAGAAGGCGATGGCACGGGCGATGTCTCACGCCGACATGTTGATGCCCGTAACGCCCGTCATGGACCGCCACAAGATGACCAAGATGCACTCTCAGCCCAGTGCCTCGAACGACTCCTACAACACGCTGACGGTCAACCACCAGGCGACCACGTCGAAGAGGCAGGCGTTTGCCTCCCGACGAACTCACACAGTGGACCACCTACAGTACATTCCTGGCCACCACCACACATACCGCACTGCCAGTAAGAACGAAGTAACTGTTTAACCACAGAGAGGTTAGCCGAAGGATCCCTGAGACTCAACACGACGTCCACAGAGTCTCCTAAGCAGCAGCGACGTCTTCTTGTTCAAACGACCTCCTACATTAAACTCTTCCTGCTTTTTAGCACAAGCTTCCTGTGTCATCCAGGTTTTGGGTAACTAGAATCAACCCCGGCAAAGACACATCTCTCTAAAAGTATCATAAGGGCTTAGCGTGTTGACACAAAGAGAGATCCTTCATGTCAGACATTTGACAGCGTGAAGAAAATATTTTTTAAAACTGGACATGGGACTAGAGGGGAATTGTATCAACTTTATAAATATATAAATATACTATATTTACTACTTGTATTTTCAGTCCTTGTTATAGCTTTAGAGATTCTCATTGACTGATGTAAGCACTTCAAGTAGTGCCTCTTGAAATTGTCCCATTTCTATGATGAAGTGGATTCGTGGGTTAAAAAGCACAATTTATGAATTCCCTTTTTTTGTTCAAATTATTTATCTCTTATTCTTTGGTAAATGGCCAGAACATATCAGCTTATTAGTGAATACAGAGGCTGTTTCTGTTGCATACAGTAGAAGATTGTAAATACGCTATATTAGCAGCATTTAAAGACAAAAAGCTGGCCTTGGCATTATGTTGTGCTTTTTTTATCTCCCACTTGGACTCTATCACGGATTCTCAAGTACTAATTTCAGTTTTTAGATAAGGCAAAAAACCCACATTTATATCATTTCCACAGATGTCTGCAATATATGTGGATTTAATATCTATATGGGAAGTATTGTTTTCTTCTTTACCTGTGCTTGTAGCATAGATAGTGTATGAAACCACTGTTGGTTGGTAGTTTCAGACACCAATCCACATGTGAAAATGGAGCCTGATGGTTGTTAATTAGATTATTTTCCATTCACACATTTCCTTGCTTTGTCATCCACATGTATGACCCCCGACCCAACTTCCTCGGGTAGTGATTGGCCAGCTGCTTCCATCTCTTCATACCAGGTACTCTGTGTTGGAGCTGAGGAGCGTATAGGTTGAGTGGTATTTTTGTGCTGGTGTGTTGAAACAATCAGTGCTTTAGAGGACGTCATACTTGCTAGTCAATCAAGCATTAATTAAAACTGTGAAATGTTGGTCCAGATGTTTCCATTAAAGCAATGCCTTATTGTATGGAATCCCATATGCTCTTCTGAACAATCACCCTTTTGTCATGTGTTGTCGTCTTAGCTTTTTGTGCAATGTTATCGAGTTTAATTTACCAGCAGAACCAGCAGTAAAGACTTGTTCAGTGATAGATGATGCAATTAATATACCTCTGAAACACTAAATTTAATTGAGGGAGTTTTAATCTCTGTAAGTAAAACAATCAGTGCTTGTTAAGGTTTTTCTATTGGAAAGATGTTACAACAATCACATTACCTTAACTTTATTTTAGGTCTATTGGCCCTTAAGTATGTATACTGGTCTTTAAATTCCAACTGTTTATCAAGATAAACCCATTAGAGGAGGTCTCATGGGACTATTTGATTCAAAATGATTAAGAAAAAAAACAACCATGTTGGACTTGGAGTTAAACAAAGTGAGGTCTCAAGTCCGTACAAGTTAGTCCTAAATCAAGATCTGATGTCAAGACATTCAGCACCAAGCCTAGTCCCACTGACAAGACAATTAAGTCCCAAATCAAGACAATTAATTTCCAAGGTAAGACAATTCAATCCAAAATTTCAACCAAAACAAGACAATTTAGTCCCAAGTAAAGTCAAAACCATGCACTTCCAAGTGAAGTCCCAATGTCAAGACAAGTTTTCCTCTAGTAGAGTCAATTTATTCCCAGGTGAAGACAATTTACACATTGAATTTCTGTATATTGTCAAAATGTCATTGTAAAGAAACAAGTTAGTTATTTAAAAACCTTTAGATTTAGATTTTCTTGAAAGGTCCATATTTCAATAAAGTCCAAAATAGTCAACCTGTAAAGATCTCTACATGGTCAAGAACATTTACATCTGAGTCCTAAAGTCAAGAAAATGTATTTCTAAATCAAGAATATTAAGTCCTGAAACATCAGTCTAAGTCTACTATTTAGTGCCAGGTTAAGACAATTTGGGCCCAAGACTAGTACCAAAGTCATACTATTTAGTGCCAAGTCAAGACGATTCAGTCCTGAGTAAAGATGTTTAAGTCAAGACAATTAAGTCCAATGCCAAGTCACTAAAGAGCCAAGTCATTTTTTAAGATCTTTAGTTTTTTGATTGTTCACATGTCTAATGGACCACTACAGACCTCTATTTGAAAAAATCAAACGACCGTGACAATATGTTTGTTTACTATCAAACAGTCTGGTGGTCATAAACTGTATTCAGTATGAAGTCTCCTGTAATTCTTTAAACTTCTACTTCAGTGGCAAAGCCATTTTTAAGTATTAAATCTATGATTATGTTTAAACAAGCTTACATCTTTACAACTTCATTAAGTTGATTATCTGTTTTCTTTTTTTATGACACCCCGTAAATTAATGACCTTGTAGGAAGGTGAAAAATCTGCCAAATGAGTTCATACAAATTGTTTCTTTTACATGCTTTAAATGTGCTACTTTCCTTTTAATGCTGGGTCTGCATTAAATGATGTCAATTAGAGATTGTCTTTTCTCCTATAATCATGGTCTTTGTATATATATAATATGATTTTTCTTCTTTTCTCTGAGAGTGCTTGCAGGTAATGAAGTACATTTTATAGCTATGGGTGAGAAGGATGTTAATTGTTCAGTAGGCTGCTTCAGACAGATATCTGTACCCTTTCACCTAGCTCGACTAATCTTCACCAACGTCTCCTCCTTCTTTTCACTTAATTAATAATGATGTCATCCCAAGAACCTTTTTATCTATGTGCAATATTTTCTATTCATGCACCATAACTCTATAGCCACTTACTCGTTTAAAATGTTGTGAGGTTAATTGGCTGCCATAAAGGGTATGTTGTCCTTTTCAGTTAGAATTGTGGTATTCATACTTTAGAAGGAGTTTGTTTTATATGCAGCTTAATGTGGTATGAATGAAACTGGTGTCTGGGTAACTTGCACAAAATACTGGAGACTAATTTAAAAGCTTCAAAACAACAAAATATGACTGTTCTTGTTCATTTTCTGTTTGTTTATATCATATTAAAGCACATCATGTGTGTTATAAATCACCTCACGGATGCTCTTTTTGTATTAAGGAAAGAAGTGGTCTCACAAAAAAGCTGTTTGTCACATGGATACCCTTAGATAAAGTGTTGGTAAGCAAAATGCTAATGACAAGGGAATTTATGCTAAGCTAACAGCTGTTAGAAGAGCCCCACAACACACATATATGTCCAGATAAAGCAGAATATAGGTTCAACTGATAACTGCTGGGGATGGTGCCAGTATCCTAGTAACATGAATGGCTTTGATTCATGTTAATGGTCTCATGTCATCATTCTTTACTAAATTAGGACATCATATCATGTTATGACGCCTCGCAAGCTAAAGTTCCGTAGGTCAATGTCCATTGACGCCATCAACCAACCCCCTCTTTATTTTTATGACACAAGTCTTAATACCCGCTATAGCCATCATGTCTTTGGCCATCTGAAACCTTCTTGAAATTCATAGCAGTGTGAGCTGGCAATGCATTTCTTTCAATACCAAAACACAACCCATTGGTTACAATACCGTGCACACAAATGGCAGTGGTTTTCACTTCCTTTCACGACATGTCCATTTGCATTTAGATGGAAAAAGGAACAAGGTTATTTGGACAAAATGGGAGAGCAATGGAAAAATGTTTGGCCATTTAACAATTTAATTCTGCTGCTTGAATAGCCAGGATCATCAGAAACCACCATGATTCAAAGACATATGTTGTGTTTATTGTAACATGCACTTTTTGTCCAAGTGATCCAACCATCAGAGGGTTTGTCTCTGCCTCCAGGACAGAAAACTTGGACTATTCAAACCAAATACCACTGCCAACAATGGCAAATACCCACATCCCATAAAGCTTCCTGTTCAGTCATTGTGTATCGTTGATGCCCTGCTCTGAGTCCGTCTCTGATGGAATGACCTTTACCGTTTTGTAAAGGAAAAAAACAAAACATGCAGACTTCTGGGAAAAAAGCCTGAGCGTTCCTCCTTTATTCCACTTTTTATTCCATCATTCTTGAAATCTGTTGGTCGAGTTGACTGGCAGAGTGAAGTATTACTCTTTAAAGATTTCAAAAGGCGGCTGCTGACCTTATATATCACCGCGGACCTGATCCGATCAGAAGCCACTGCACCGTGAGGGACAAGTTTTGCTCTGATTGATTGATGTGCCAAACAAAGAACAGCGGGACAAAAAGGCAGCCAGGCGGTAAGAAGCTGTACACAAAACGACACCAAAAAATACACAAACAACAGTCTAAACAGCAGTGGTTAAGTAGGGTGAGGGTCTGGGTTAGGGCATTGGTTCACAACCTGGGGTCAATAGATTTGCACAGATTAGCTAAAATAATGAAAACACACTTGTTGGATAGTCTTTGTAATATAGCAATAAGTAAGGTCTTTTACCTGCTTTTTGTAACATAACAATGAGTAAGGTCTTTTTACCTGCTCTTTTGTAATGTTAACAGACAAAGAGTAAGGTATTTTACCTGCTTTTTGTAAAGTGTCTTGAGATAACACTTGTTATGAGTTGACGCTATACAAAATAAATTGAATTGAATTGAATTGAATTTAAGGTCTGTTAAGAACAAGTGGTGTGGGCCTATTGTGTCAGGACTTAATCAATAAAAACATTTAAACCTTGTGTTAGATTTGACAGCAACTTGGGGGTGGGGGGGGGTTAACCTCTTAGGTAGAGGGGCTCCAAGAAAAAAGGTTGGGAACCACTGGGTTAGGGTTAGGATCGACTGAACCGAAAAGCTGAGCCGATCAATACTTTCATATTGAAAAAGAATCAATGACTATGTGTAAGTAAATGTAACCAATGTCTATTTTAGTAATGAACCTGCAGATATTTGTAACCTGACTTTCCAGTCCCAAGCATCTTTCCAGCTGCTAAATGCTCCACTATGTTAAACAGCAAGTTGCAAAGAAAAGAGACGTTGCCAAAAATCTAACCCTAATTATAAGTCAGACATTTTCCTCAGTAGTTGGTAGTAGTTGCCCTTCGCCTGGGAATTTGTTCAGCCATTTATTGACCAAGATGATGATTGAAAATATATATTTGACCTGTTTCTGGCCTATATGTCATATACACATCCAGGTCCATTCAGATAAGCACCAATCATGGTTAATCTTCATTAAATTTGGGTACCAAACATAGCCATTAACAGAACTGGGAGCCGGGTAAACAGAATGTTACTGATTGAAAACGCAGACCTGAACCTGCACAAATCGCACGTCCATGAGTCTGGAGGGGAAATGCAGACATCTAAAGAACAAAACTGAGCTACAAAGAGAGTGGATATTCCACTTATCATGTAGACACAAACATTACACCAAACAAAAGCAAAATGACACATTATGTTTGACAGTGTTGTAAACAGGAGAATATTGGCTGAAACCTCAGACACAGCAAAGAAGGAAAAAATTGTTCCAATATATAAACACCCTTCAAAGGAAGAGGTTTCATGCAACTGGGGAGAAAAGGAAGTATTTATGTACACCCTTTCATGGTAATGAAACAGACTGAATACTGAGACCATTTTCATGATCTAAAAAGCAAAGAATACCATCAGCGATAATATTCATAATTGCAATGCAGTTGCTTTCAATGGCTTGTACCACTTACACTTAGTTGGTGAAAGCTATTCACAGCATGTGGACAGGAAGTGCCTTCATGTAGATCCACACTGCGCAATACTTTGGACGTAAATCGATTCGATCAATGTTCATTTTGTTCGAGTCATTTGAGTTAACCTTAGTTTTTTAAAAAGATTAAGTTTGTTTTTAAGTGTTTCCCTTGTGTAGAAAAACCCTCCTTGTAGCATTCCTCGACCCAGTAATTGTCGGAAACATTCATTTATTGCTGACCAAACCACCTGGGCAGAAACAGGAGCCATTATCTGAGCTGCAATTATACCAACAACATCCAACCTGAGCAGAAATTGGACAATTTGTGTTATTTATGGTTCACAGCTCGAGCTCTTCACCTCCGGGGAGAAGCGAGTGGATGCCGCCTTCATGTAAATGCACCGAGTTAATAGAGCGGCTTGTTTAAGGAGCCTGGATGTGTAAACACCACGGCATTCGCCGGTTACCAAACCGCCATGGGAGCTCGATGATGAATGCACCTAATAGGCCAAGGCTGCACCACACACACTCGCCCACTCGCACTCGCACACATGCGTAGTTCTCAAAGGCGGTTGTTATCGATCCCTCCGACATACTGCTTCAGCACTGCTTAAATGAGAGGAGTCAATAGCTGAGCTGTCTGTGAGATGGCCCCGAGTGTTTCTGCTGTGGAATGGATTGTTGCTGAAAGAGGAATGAAGCAGAGATTTAAAAAAAAAACAGGGAAATTGTGTTACTACATACTGAGGAAGAAATTCCCCCAAAATCGATTCCTTTGTCCATTAGGAGATGCTCTAGGAATTAATGTCTGTGAGCTTTTCTTTGAGAGTTTTTTTTTTTCAGCCGGGTTTATTAGTTCCTGTTATAAGAGAACAGCCTTGTACTGAATTACTGAGGTGTCCAACCCAGGGCTTGACCTGGCTTACGAGCTTGCCCTCAGCTTGCAATTAACATTGCTCAATGATGTATGTTGTTGTCACACCAGCAGACCGACCAGATTGCAGCAAAACCGGTTGGTTTATCAAAGGGATAGTTTTTGTAAGTGGATCAGAATCCCACTGTGATGCCACAAGGAGAGCACATTTGAAACAGAGCATTTTTCTCTGTGTTGTAAGGCTTATGCAGACCACAAACAAAGGACTGGATGGGTTTATTTCACATTTTTCAAAAACACTGTAAAAGTGGATTTTTCATAATATGTCCCAAAATATTCTAATGGGAGAAATTTACATGAATGTACTTTTGAGAGTAACTCCTCGTCTCCTCAATTTATTTGTCAATTTTGAGCGGGCCGTGACATTTTAAAAAATCATCATAAACTGGCCAGTGTCATCAGCGTAAAGAGAATTTCTTAATTTGTTTCCATGTCACCTTATTGGTTTTATTCAAACTGGAATCCCTCACCCATAACGTAACCCTATCCGCCCCCTCCCCCCCATCCCATTTCCTCTATGTTGCCAAGGGTATTTTCATGTCTTCATGGTACAAACTTCTGAAAGTGCCCATGTCCTCCCATAAATAGTTCTCTCCTGTTTGTATAACCCTTCACAAATGAAGATGTGAATGGTTCTGAAGTGGGCACCTGTAGGTAATAATCCATATCTTCAGTGTGATTGGAGCGATTTCCTAACGAGGCTGTATACTCTGAAATGTGCTCAGGCCTAATCACCTCGGTCAGTGATGTTACAGTCCAGATGAGCCATGCGGAGCTTCATGGACTCTGTCCAGTAAATGATGATGATAATTACATCATAACCATTATCACAACATTTATGAAAGTTATTAAATCCCTCCTTAAATATCATGGAAATATCCTCATCACGGCACGCTGCGTTCAAAGGGAGCATTATGTTTACTGCAGCAGCTGAAGAGTTTTAAGATGTTTACTTCAGGGTAGTTTTATGAATCCAAATTGTAACACTATAGAGAGCTGGTGAAAATCAAATATGGATGCAGAAATAACAAAGTTTCAAAAACGGCAAAGTGTAACAATTTAATTTGTACAGGGCTAATGTAAGGTTCGACTCTGGGAGCTGGTGGAGAATTATTTAACGCACGACACAGAATTTTGGTTACCGGTTTTTTATTTAACTTTTCATAAATAATAAAAAACACACCACAATAAAATAAAAAATAAAAACAGGCCTTTAATTGTGTAAATAAGCTTTAAAAAAGTCTTTCTATAAGGGCACCTTTTACCTTCCATACATCAGACATCATCATTTATTCATTACACATTCCCAATTTCCAATTCAAATAAATCAGTGCACCAAACACATTACAATTATTGCAGATTTAGTAAAGATATGTGTGTGCTGAATGTCTCTGAAGAAGATCTGGTATTAAATATTAAAATCTATACTCGTGCTTAAACAAAAAAGAAAGAAATGAT